CTGGCATACACTGAGTGCATTGCAATATACAAATCTATGTATTCAGCCATAGTAAAGTGATTGTAAATTTTAATCGCGATTAATCGCGACAAAATTTTTTATTCTATGCCCATGCAGCACTAAAATTAATCAGAGTTAACTTGATTAATTTCATAGCCCTAATTTTATGTTTAATCTTGATAMAATTCAAAGATAAAGTAAGCACCATAAATTATACTGTGCTACAGCCCCTCGGGTCAATGGATTAAATAAAGTATTTCTACATAGGGCGACAGATGACAACCTAGTAACCTGGGCCACTGCTGAAGGGCAAAATCAAATGGCTTGGAGGGCCAATTTTGGCCCACYGGCCCCACTTTGGAAACCTCTGGACAAGGGGATGGGAATCTTGCATTTGTTTATTTGCATTAAGATCTTGTTAAGGATTGTTCTGATGCTGCTGTACGATATAAACTTTCATCTGCATGTGTTTAAAAAAGCCTGAATTATAGCCCTTTACGAAATTAGCATTAGCATTAATGGTTAGCCTAATTTAAGATTAGCAGAGGCAATCAGCGAGTGATGATTTTAAGCTACTCCACAACAAATTTCATCCCAAAAAGTCTTWAAATAGCTGAATTATAACTATTTGAAGTTAGCTGTGGTGGCCATTTTAAATGTTAAATTAGCATTTTTTTAGTAAAGATTGTTTTTGACTAGTTCTACAGTAATCATCAGCTTTGTGTGTCGATAAATGACAAAGTTATAAATTGTGACATTCAGCATATTTTTTAATCGTTCTAAGTTATGATCAGATTTCAGCTCAGTATTTACTAATATGGCGGAATTAAAGCCACTAGAAGTTATCTGTGGTGGTCATCTTGAATTTATTGGCCACCCCTTGCAAAATAAATAAATAAATAAAAAAAACAATAATAACTAGACATGGGTTTTTACGATATAAAAACAAGTGTGCATTGCCTTGTAGCATGTCTTTACCTGCAGCAGTGCACTTGCAGAAATGAACGGTGACCAGTTTCAAATGTGTTTTCTATACCAGCTTGTGCTTGTCAAGTCAGCAGGTGTTTGTAATGAGGGTAATTGTGTGACAATATGAAGTTTGAAGAGACTTTTTGTTAAAGTTACTGTAGCTGGGTTTTGAACCCTGCTCTCCCACATGAAAGCCCATGGCCTTTACCATGAGACCACTGGAGCTGTGGCAGAGTGGATTGCCAGGGGTTGGTTTGAATGTGTGCAGAAAGAGGCCACATCGCCAATGCAGTTGTTGACACTAAACTGCAATATATTATAACAATAAAGCAATATTAGGACAATATTATAGTAAAACATCAAAATACTAACATATTAGTATTGTAAACACTGAACTACTGAGTTTAAATATTATTAAACTATGTTGCAGTACTGAGTAGGTACAGCAGGGGGCAGTATTGGCCCAAGGCAAGGCTCCATTAACTTCCATTATAAATTATTAAACATTAATATTTCAAAAACTGTACGTTGTACAGGTACCAAAAGGCATAGCCATCATTTGGCACAGGAGCTTTACAGATATAAATTACAATGGCAGCTCTAGGACAAAGTATGCAGGAGGAGAAGCGTGCCAAAGTGGAGATGACTTGGATGGGAAATGAATCACAATAGTACTGATAATAATAAAAATAAGTCTAGCCCCGCCCCTGGTTGTGACATTTCCCATCTGCTTCGCCCCACAGGTGAAGGTGTGGTTCCAGAACAGGAGGATGAAGTGGAAACGGGTGAAAGGAGGCCAGCAGGGCGCGGCGGCTCGGGAGAAGGAACTGGTGAACGTGAAAAAGGGAACGTTACTGCCGTCAGAGTTCTCCGGCATCGCTGTCCTCCACCACTCGACGGACTCCTTAGCCAACGAGGACAGTCACGACAGCAACGAGAGCTCTGACCACGCCCATTTATGATACACACATGCTCCTACCCCACCCTGGACCTTCTTTAGAGGGACTGCTGCCTGATGAGTCACAGTCGTCATACAATGATGATTAATAACAGAGAACTGATGAGCGTTACACAAGGCAACATGTACGTTTTAAGAACAGAGTACCATTCGTTGAAAGGTTTGCTTAGAAAAAAGCCAAAAAAAACCCCAACTTTTTAACTTTTTAAGTGTGACATAGCGGTATAACAATTCCTAAACATTGCAGTACATGTTGAAATATGTTGAAAATCTTATTTAGTTGAACTGTTGCATTCCATTTGTGTGTCTTTTGAGCAGGCTAAAGCTTTGATTTGCACTGTTGAACTTYTGGTCTGCACCTCAACTGGTTTCTACTGTAAAAAAAAGAAACATGTAAATCATGATGTAATTAAGGTATTAATTCAGTCACTTGTGAGGAAAATCTAATTTGCCTTGCAAATATAAATGATGTGTAAATATTCCTCGGTTTTGCCTTACTTTAAGTATAGTTACATACCCAGACTGTTCAGCTCACGGAATAATAAACACTGACAGCTCTTCAAATGACACCTTCCTGCCCAGAGATCTGAAATCCTTTCAGAGACAGTTGCAAATTGAATAAAACCAAACRGGTGGAAAAAGTCATTTTTTATGAATAGTTGTTTAGTTTTTTTTTTCTCGCAGCTCTCCATCCATGTGGATCTGCAGTGATGAATGCATGTTCCACGACGTGAAGCTGAAATAAATGAAACGTTGCAGAGAGTGTGGAAAGCTGGTGATGTGGGCGCTTGTTAAATTCACCTTCGCCCGGGGGTGGGGGTGGGGTGTGGGGGGAGACTCCCGCCAAAAACTGCAGAAAACCCACAGCGGATCTGATCCTGTTACCAAATCCAGTAGAGAATAATTTGGTGTCTTGATCTCGTCTTTCGCCACGTTGTGATTGTGCACTCTTGTCTTAGAGCCACCTCACGTGGCATTTGAGGTTTATAATCCCCCTCATCCAGGATGAGACCCACTGATCCTGAATCTGATCCAGCTTTTACTCACGTTGTACTTCAGTACRGAGTTTTTCACAACTACAAAAAACATCTACATCCTTCGTTTACGTTTTAATCTGGACTCTGCTATTTTTTTTAATTTGTTGCAGAAACCACAGTCATTGGTCATTTGCATATTACAGCATAATGAGAATGYTACTTTTGTTTACATTTTATTGGCACTCCTGACTTTATTTTTCACAAATAAAGTCAGTTCATTGCAAAGTCTTGAAAGTGTTTGGAGTTAGTTATCAGTCCTATAAATCATATTTTTGTTGACATCGTTATATTTATATTGTTTCTATTTGCACATGGTTTTGTTTTGTTGTAGTTCATTAAAACAAAACATTTTTATGTGCATCTGTCCTGTTTTATCATCATCAACTAACTAAAGGCTAAATTACAAAATTATTCAATAAACATGATYAGTATCAGTATTGAAATTGGCGACACCAGCCCTGATGTCGATAAGAAAGTTAGTATCACCCACTCCTAAGTTTTAGCCCATGATCATGTGTGGAGAAATTAATAAAAACAAAGCTTTGCCCACTCTTTCAAAATCATAAGCTGTCACACTGAGAGTGTGTGTTGAGGACAGAGYGTGTAACAAAGTACCAGAGGTCTATAAAGTACTTGAAAAAAAATAAACTAAGTAAAAGTAAAATTACATGAACAGAAAATGACTTTGGTCAAAATAAAAATTCACTGATGAGAAAACTACTCAAGTAAAAGTCATAAAACTGTTCACAAAAACTGGGAAAGTAAAAGTACTTTTCCACACTGAAATAAACTGTTGAATTTACTGAACCAAACTGGTTCCACCAAGCCAGTGTTTCCCAAAGTTGGGGTCGGGACCCAAAGTGGGGTCCTGACAAGATTTTCTGAATTAATTACATTTTTACTTTAGTTGTTACAAAGGAGTGAGGTTAGTATATTTAAAATGGATAAATGTAGTATAAAAATATTGTTACTATGCCCATGTTTAGTTGACCTGATACAAATGTTTATCAT